AATACCCATTATCTTCAGTCTAAACACTACAGTCTAATACCCATTATCTTCAGTCTAATCACTACAGTCCAATAACCCATTATCTTCAGTCTAATCACTACAGTCCAATAACCCATTATCTTCAGTCTAATCACTACAGTCTAATACCCATTATCTTCAGTCTAATCACTACAGTCTAATAACCCATTATCTTCAGTCCAATCACTACAGTCTAATACCCATTATCTTCAGTCTAATCACTACAGTCTAATACCCATTATCTTCAGTCTAATCACTACAGTCTAATACCCATTATCTTCAGTCTAATCACTACAGTCTAATACCCATTATCTTCAGTCTAATCACTACAGTCTAATAACCCATTATCTTCAGTCTAATCACTACAGTCTAATACCCATTATCTTCAGTCTAATCACTACAGTCTAATACCCATTATCTTCAGTCTAATCACTACAGTCTAATACCCATTATCTTTAGTCTAATCACTACAGTCTAATACCCATTATCTTCAGTCTAATCACTACAGTCTAATACCCATTATCTTCAGTCTAATCACTACAGTCTAATACCCATTATCTTCAGTCTAATCACTACAGTCTAATACCCATTATCTTCAAGCTAATCACTACAGTCTAATAACCCATTATCTTCAGTCTAATCACTACAGCCTAATAACCCATTATCTACAGTCTAAACACTACAGTCTAATAACCCATTATCTTCAGTCTAATCACTACAGTCTAATCACCCATTATCTACAGTCTTATCACTACAGTCTAATAACCCATTATCTTCAGTCTAATCACTACAGTCTAATACCCATTATCTTCAGTCTAATCACTACAGTCTAATACCCATTATCTTCAGTCTAATCACTACAGTCTCATCATTAAGACCTAGCATACTTATTTTGTATCTAATCAAAACATAACATCATGCAAATCAGTTTGAGTCAATTATCGCGATCATGGTACCACGAGTGAGTTAATAGTTAACTTGGGATCAACAATTTTTCAGCTGTGTATGGACGAGTAAGCTTATAGATTAAACAATTTTGGGTACAATACAAACAACCAGGTCACAAATGAAGTCTGTGCTTCAAATAATTGCGTCTATTCCACGCTTGGCAGCCATTAAATCCACTCCTATCACATATTCTCCAACAATAGCGTCATCAAAATACATTACAATCTCTCAATGCATCTCTCGCCCCAAACCAGCATATTCAAACTGATCTCAATGTCTCAACACACCCATTCCTAACCTACCTAAAATATCTCGGACAGGGCCACGTACCATAAAGTGATCTTTGCGCTACGATTGTCGTAAGTCTATGGGAGTTACGATCGTCTCAGCGCTAAGATGGATTTGTCGAATAGGGCCCAGGAATGGAACCGGTGTAGATATTTACATGATTTCACTGTTTAACCGCATACCGACAATCCCAACGCATATAGTTCTTACAAAACAGGGGCGATGGGGTAGTCTAGTGGTTAAAGCGTTCGCTCGTCTAGTCGAAGCCGGGTTCGACATGGGTACAATGTGTGAGCCCATTTCTGGTGTCCCCCGTCGTGATATTGCTGGAATATTGCCCAAAGCGGCGTAATACTCACACGCTCACTCTTACAAAACGACGTCGATTTTGACACCTTTTTATGGTTTATATAAATTAGGTACACAATTTGATATCGAACACTATTCCTACAGGGGACAAGATTGTCTCCAGATTGTGTTTTTTAATTGGATAGTCATGTGAATTAGAGAAACTAGTGAATCACGTTCCAATATGGCGTTTCCACAATGTTGGCCGAGATAACCGATAGTGCACTGAAGAGTGAGCCGAGTATGTCTCAATGTCGGGAGTCATGTTTCGCTCCACTGTTCATATCACACTGTTTATTCCCAATTATTGAGCAGTCGTAAAAACGGAGATAATATGATGATTTATAGAACATATGGGAATGGGGACGCACAGACAACATCTAGAGATGGCGGCAGCGACGCCAGTGTGTTATGTCAAATCTGGGGCGAAACGTCCGATTAAACAAACTGTTGTATCATGATGGATCCCTCTCACCATCTCTCGTGACAATCATAGCCCAGGTCACTACAATCAATTGACGTCTTGGCCTGCGACGTTTGCATCATTCGACCTGTGGTAGACGGACGAAGGTACACTTGGCCGACAGTCGCATGCGATATGTCGTATGTGACAATGGAGCTCTTTAGCCAAACGTTGAGCTGCGGCTGTCTCAACAAATAGTAGCCTTCTGCTATAAATAATAAACATAGTAACAAAAATAAAGATGATCATAAAATGCCAATCAGGCGTGCTAAAAGCGCATGCCAATCATTTGTAGTTCCAGTCAACATTTTAAGACACTTATTCAAAATCCTCCCAAACTCCACTCGTCCTTCTCATTTGGGCATATAAAACATAATGTTATACATACTTAGCGAGGACAAAGGGTTAGACAGTTAAATTATGATTTACGTAGACAAGGAATCAAAGACACAGGAGAATGTTTTTGTGGTAGTAAATGTGAAAGTGCATATATTTTTTTCTTTGAATGTGACTTATTAAATGAAGAAAGGGACACTTTACTTAAACATGTAAGTAGTGCAGCCGAAAATACATCATGAGGTGCGTTGCGCTGTTTGGGTGTCAGTGGGTTGGGATAGGTTGAGATGAAGTTTTCTTCGAGGCACAGAATATTTTTCAGTCAGAGCCGCAAGAAACACATCATTTTGGCATTTGGACTCGCATTACTTTTCAGAACATCCTTTACTTCTTTAACTTCTTCTGAGTTCGATATTTCGAAGATTTCTGGTCCATTTCATGATCTAGTTATATAACGGAAGGTCAATTCTGATACAATCAGCGGTTATTGGTAAAGTGGTATAGCGGTGGTTATTGTTTGCGTCACTGTGAAAATGAATAAATTATTTCGATTGTAACAGACCCATTTGAAACGACACCGTGTGCACTTATATCACGAATAGGTCCGTCAGACCCGGGGATTACAGTGTGCGTCCTGGCTGATTGTGTGCCAGCGTAACCAGGCAACGTGGATAGTGTTCATGCCATCAACCATTTGTTTATCGTGCCGAGACGTTGATGTGATACTGTTGACTGGAACGACACTTACTCACGTGCATAACATGCAGATAAGGATTATCGCCTCCGTGGTCTTGTGGATAGAGCGCCTGTCCAGAGAGCAGAAGGTCGGTGGTTCGATCACCGGCCGCGTCATACCAAAAAGCGTTAAAACATGGTACTTATTGTCTGGCAATGGGCATTAAGGGGATACAACAAAGACTGGTTGGCTCGGAGTCAGTAGACTGTGCCTTAGCGGGGTATCCGTGTTAAACTGCGACATGGTACCTCCGTGGACTAGCACTATAAAACTCGGCATTAGTCCGGACCAGTGCAGGAAGCCACACAGTCACAAACACAGGCACACACTCACACACGTGGCTTAATAAGCGCAGTAATCTTGAACGCGACGTTAAACCCCATGTCACCTCGGCTGACATGGATTCATTGAGTGAGTGAGTATGGTTTTATGCAGCTTTTAGCACCAGAAATAGGCTTCACACATTGAACCCATGTGGGGAATCGACCCCGGGTATTCGGCGTGACGAGCGAACTCTTTAATCCATAAGCTACCCCATTCTTGGAGTAAGTCTTATGTACATTGTTAAAAAAAGCAAAAATGAGTTGACAAATAGCTTCATGTTCTCATTTTTGAGATCACATAAAAACTTTCAAATTAATTGATGACTTTCCATTTCAAAGGCGCCATAGCGCCTGTCACCTCATTCAGAAGAAATACAAATTGTTGTATTAATAGAATGAGCAGACAACTCTTAATTATCTGCAGAAAATCGGCTGGATGTAAACGGGGCATAAAACGAAGAGTGACGCGAGTGGCAATTGCAGCAACATGGCGTTTTTGCAACGCTGACAGGTTTTGGATACGTATTCATAACGTATTAATTTATTGGTATGATGTTGCGATTATGAGCCGAAGGTCAAGACTTGGCAGCAAGTAGAACGCTTATACTCACGTGGTTTATGATCATGACTTCAAAATGTATGTCATTATTACTAAGATTAATGGCAAACTAACATAATTACATCTGCCTGCGCGTCGACTCTGTCACGCTCAATTCGTTCCTAATAAGCGGCAACGGCGACGCTGAACCCAGGGCCGCCATGTTGGATCACGGCATTGACGGAATGCCACGAACTATGACGATCCCTGCCGAGAAATGAGGATTGCTTAATTTAAGATGTAGAGACAGTCTGTGCATAACATGTTGAAGTTAATCCCAAATGGGACAGCTGCAAGATCTGTTTTCTGTAAAACGAGAGAGAAAACGTGTCCCCTCAAAGTGCATGCTGCACACGCCATCGCTCTGACAACACACATCCGTCCACAGGGACCGTACCCACGTCGTAGTCTCGTATAATCTCGGAACACAACGTCACAACTAGACACAACGTCACGTGGCTATTGCACGTACGCACAGCTCGAATCACATCGCCAAAAAAAGGTTATGCACTTATAGGGTCAATTGCAATTAACTTTCGTGCAACCCCCTCAAACCCCCCACCTCCCCCCAACACACACACCTAACAAGTTGATGATGAATGATGGCATTGAATAAAACGTTTGTTTTGTCTGGAGGAATGTTCATTCTCAACAAACTAGGAAGTGAAGCATTTTGAATTAGTAACCAATAAATCTAATTTGCAAACCTGATATGCACTTTTCGTTTAAACTTGACTTCAAAGTATTAGCTGTGATAGACTTGGTGGTATTCTGCCTGCATGTAATGATTATCGTGAGTAAGAAACACCAGACCACGGGTCTGTTAAAAACGAATCGATTCATTCAGTTTTCAAATTCGATGTGTATTAGACACGCAGTCAGCAATAACGCAACTGTAGACGGACGAGTCAGCGAGACTGTTGTTGGTAGGACGTTCCATACCGTCGGTACAGGGTGTAGATGGTCGAGTCGGAGAGACTGTTGGTAGGACGTTCCACACCGTCGGGACAGGGTGTAGATGGTCGAGTCGGAGAGACTGTTGTTGGTAGGACGTTCCACACCGTCGGTGTAGGGTGTAGATGGTCGAGTAAGAGACTGTTGTTGGTAGGACGTTCCACACCGTCGGGGTAGGGTGTAGATGGTCGAGTCGGAGAGACTGTTGTTGGTAGGACGTTCCACACCGTCGGTGTAGGGTGTAGATGGTCGAGTAAGAGAGACTGTTGTTGGTAGGACGTTCCACACTGTCGGGACAGGGTGTAGATGGTCGAGTCGGAAAGACTGTTGTTGGTAGGACGTTCCACACCGTCGGGGTAGGGTGTAGATGGTCGAGTAAGAGAGACTGTTGTTGGTAGGACGTTCCACACCGTCGGTACAGGGTGTAGATGGTCGAGTCGGAGAGACTGTTGTTGGTAGGACGTTCCACACCGTCGGGACAGGGTGTAGATGGTCGAGTCGGAGAGACTGTTGTTGGTAGGACGTTCCACACCGTCTGGGTAGGGTGTAGATGGCCGTGTCGGAGAGACTGTTGTTGGTAGGACGTTCCACACCGTCGGTGTAGGGTGAAGATGGTCGAGTCAGAGAGACTGTTGTTGGTAGGACGTTCCACACCGTCGGTACAGGGCGTAGATGGTCGAGTCGGAGAGACAGTTGTTGGTAGGACGTTCCACACCGTCGGTACAGGGTGTAGATGGTCGAGTCAGCGAGACTGTTGTTGGTAGGACGTTCCACACCGTCGGGGTAGGTGTAGATGGTCGAGTCAGAGAGACTGTTGTTGGTAGGACGTTCCACACTGTCGGGGTAGGTGTAGATGGTCGAGTCAGAGAGACTGTTGTTGGTAGGACGTTCCACACTGTCGGGGTAGGGTGTAGATGGTCGAGTCAGAGAGACTGTTGTTGGTAGGACGTTCCACACTGTCGGGGTAGGGTGTAGATGGTCGAGTCAGAGAGACTGTTGTTGGTAGGACGTTCCACACTGTCGGGGTAGGGTGTAGATGGTCGAGTCAGAGAGACTGTTGTTGGTAGGACGTTCAACACCGTTAGGACAGGGTGTAGATGGTCGAGTCGGAGAGACTGTTGTTGGTAGGACGTTCCACACCGTCGGTACAGGGCGTAGATGGTCGAGTCGGAGAGACAGTTGTTGGTAGGACGTTCCACACCGTCGGTACAGGGTGTAGATGGTCGAGTCAGCGAGACTGTTGTTGGTAGGACGTTCCACACTGTCGGGGTAGGGTGTAGATGGTCGAGTCAGAGAGACTGTTGTTGGTAGGACGTTCCACACCGTCGGGACAGGGTGTAGATGGTCGAGTCGGAGAGACTGTTGTTGGTAGGACGTTCCACACCGTCGGTGTAGGGTGAAGATGGTCGAGTCAGAGAGACTGTTGTTGGTAGGACGTTCCACACCGTCGGTACAGGGCGTAGATGGTCGAGTCGGAGAGACAGTTGTTGGTAGGACGTTCCACACTGTCGGTACAGGGTGTAGATGGTCGAGTCAGCGAGACTGTTGTTGGTAGGACGTTCCACACCGTCGGGGTAGGTGTAGATGGTCGAGTCAGAGAGACTGTTGTTGGTAGGACGTTCCACACTGTCGGGACAGGGCGTAGATGGTCGAGTCGGAGAGACAGTTGTTGGTAGGACGTTCCACACCGTCGGTACAGGGCGTAGATGGTCGAGTCGGAGAGACAGTTGTTGGTAGGACGTTCCACACCGTCGGTACAGGGTGTAGATGGTCGAGTCAGAGAGACTGTTGTTGGTAGGACGTTCCACACCGTCGGTGTAGGGTGTAGATGGTCGAGTCGGAGAGACTGTTGTTGGTAGGACGTTCCACACCGTCGGTGTAGGGTGAAGATGGTCAAGTCAGAGAGACTGTTGTTGGTAGGACGTTCCACACCGTCGGTACAGGGCGTAGATGGTCGAGTCGGAGAGACAGTTGTTGATAGGACATTCCACACCGTCGGGACAGGGTGTAGATGGTCGAGTCGGAGAGACTGTTGTTGGTAGGACGTTCCACACCGTCGGTACAGGGTGTAGATGGTCGAGTCGGAGAGACTGTTGTTGATAGGACGTTCCACACCGTCGGTGTAGGGTGTAGATGGTGGGGTCAGAGAGACTCTTGTTGGTAGGACGTTCCACACCGTCGGGGTAGGGCGTAGATGGTCGAGTCGGAGAGACTGTTGTTGGTAGAACGTTCCACACCGTCGGGACAGGGTGTAGATGGTCGAGTCGGAGAGACTGTTGTTGGTAGGACGTTCCACACCGTCGGTACAGGGTGTAGATGTTCGAGTCGGAGAGACTGTTGTTGGTAGGACGTTCCACACCGTCGGGACAGGGTGTAGATGGTCGAGTCGGAGAGACTGTTGTTGGTAGGACGTTCCACACTTTCGGGACAGGGTGTAGATGGTCGAGTCGGAGAGACTGTTGGTAGGACGTTCAACACCGTCGGGGTAGGGTGTAGATGGTCGAGTCGGAGAGACTGTTGTTGGTAGGACGTTCCACACCGTCGGTACAGGGTGTAGATGGTCGAGTCGGAGAGACTGTTGTTGGTAGGACGTTCCACACCGTCGGGACAGGGCGTAGATGGTCGAGTCGGAGAGACTGTTGTTGGTAGAACGTTCCACACCGTCGGTACAGGGTGTAGATGGTCGAGTCGGAGAGACTGTTGTTGGTAGGACGTTCCACATCGTCGGTGTAGGGTGTAGATGGTGGGGTCAGAGAGACTCTTGTTGGTAGGACGTTCCACACCGTCGGGGTAGGGCGTAGATGGTCGAGTCGGAGAGACTGTTGTTGGTAGAACGTTCCACACCGTCGGGACAGGGTGTAGATGGTCGAGTCGGAGAGACTGTTGTTGGTAGGACGTTCCACACCGTCGGTACAGGGTGTAGATGTTCGAGTCGGAGAGACTGTTGTTGGTAGGACGTTCCACACCGTCGGGACAGGGTGTAGATGGTCGAGTCGGAAAGACTGTTGGTAGGAAGTTCCACACCGTCGGGGTAGGTGTAGATGGTCGAGTCGAAGAGACTGTTGTTGGAAGGACGTTCCACACTTTCGGGACAGGGTGTAGATGGTCGAGTCGGAGAGACTGTTGGTAGGACGTTCAACACCGTCGGGGTAGGGTGTAGATGGTCGAGTCGGAGAGACTGTTGTTGGTAGGACGTTCCACACCGTCGGTACAGGGTGTAGATGGTCGAGTCGGAGAGACTGTTGTTGGTAGGACGTTCCACACCGTCGGGACAGGGCGTAGATGGTCGAGTCGGAGAGACTGTTGTTGGTAGAACGTTCCACACCGTCGGGACAGGGATGGTCGAGTCAGAGAGACTGTTGTTGGTAGAACGTTCCACACCGTCGGGACAGGGTGTAGATGGTCGAGTCGGAGAGACTGTTGTTGGTAGGACGTTCCACACCGTCGGGACAGGGATGGTCGAGTCAGAGAGACTGTTGTTGGTAGGACGTTCCACACCGTTAGGGTAGGGTGTGAGGCAATCAGCTAGGTGTACACCTGATCGTTCCATCTGGTGTAGAGACGTTCATACGGACACGTTTAGTAAATGAGTTATGTTTGAATAGCATTTCGTCACCCCGAGTTCAAGTTAAGGTTCAGTTATATAAATACATATCGACAAGCTATGTGCACGTGTGTAGAGCTTCCTGCCATGCCTGTCGGGTGGAAAGCCAAAAGCGCAAGACTGGAAACGACGCGAGCGGAACCAGAAACAAAACTAATTATTTCAGCCTAGCCTTGCTCCAAGTCTGCACTGAATGATAAGTCCATGGATGTTAAGCAATTCTATCCCTATAAAAGTCATGTTAAGATAAGCGGACAGTACACCAGTCTTTACGGGAACATTTGTTCTTATTTATATAATCTAGGGATGACTTAAATTAATAACCATTGCATTATAGACTTGTGCAAGTCTAATTTCGGTCTTATTATGTATACATCACAAACGTTTGCTCACATTTTGTTAATTAGCTGCATGTAACTTTCTTTAGTTTTTCTTCGTGTTTGTCAGCCTATAACTTTTGCCTCCGACCTCCCGGCCTCAGGCAAGCTGTTTCGTGAACATTCCTTCTGAATTAATCCACACTAATAATAAGTGCCAACCACGAGACTGGGTGTTGACGTCGTACCTTGTACACTGAGCCTGACAGATCTGCGGCCTGTGTGCAACTCGACAAGACGCCGACAAAACACTGTCGCCACGAGAAACCACAGTCTACATCTCTGTCAAAGGTTAATTCACGTTAATTTCAAATTTAAAAATCGACGTCATCTGATACGGAGGGAGGTATTTATCACAGCCGGGCATCCCGTAGTCCACCATTCCCGCTGACGAGCACGTGAAACATGGCCGCGTGTGTAAGGTCCGACAGGTTTTTCACATGAAATCGAATATTGTGGTTTTTCGTGAAATTAATTGAAAATTGGGGACCCCCGTGTAGTATATCCGACGTCCACTGCGCACCGGATGTGCAGTGGTCTCAGACACGCTCAAAATGGCGCCATTCACCGAGTCGACGTGTACCGTTGTCTCTTTTTTGACCGTCACTCGATGCGCAATTCGCCAGCATTGTGTTGTTTCAGTCAGCGTCCGACCTCTGACCTTTCTCCCACTGGATAAGGATTGAGAAGCTGATGCTGCACTCTAGTTAATTAGTATGTCATTATCAGAGGGGAAAAAAATAATCGTATGCTCATGGTGTGATAAAGAGTTTGTGATTTCCCTAGTTGGATCTGAGACTTCAAGGCTTACCACGCACATGGAGTGCACGGCATTCATCACAGCTCTTTCTTATAGTGTTGCGTCATCTTATATAACACGTTCTTATACGCGTACAGAGGATTTGTCGTAGACTTGCACAAGTCTCTAAGGCAAATGTTATTAGTTTAATTCATAATTTCCAGATTATGAAAATAATAAAGACTAATAAAAAGTTGTCCCTATAAGAGACTGGAGTCCTGTACTGTCCAAATATCTAGACTTACCTATTAGGAGGATAGAATTACTACACATCCATGGACCTTTCTTTCAGTACAGCCTTGGAGCAAGGCTAGATTTGTCGTTTGAGGTCAAGCAGTGTGACAAGCGTTTTTTACGGTAACTTCATTATCTGATATCTGAAGAAGATGTTGACTCCTTATATGGACCGAGAAATGGCCAGGTGCTGATACTGTCATCTAATGGTAGAAATGTTGTGCTAGGTTCTTACACAACAAATGGCTGGAATAAGGATCATCTACTGTAAACAGCTATTTTCTTGCGGCATTGAGGTCTTAAGTTTTCCTTTTTCGTAAAATGATGAATTGACATTAACATGAAATGTTCCGAGTGTATCTGTTGTGCTTCAGTGCAAATGACTTGCCGTTGGCCACGCAATTAATCAGACGTCTTTGAAGAATTCCTGTTTGAAGTTTTCTGGGGCCTGCTTGGACTTGAAGCGCAGGACTCAGTGACCAAAGATACGGTGTGTGAGATGGAGATAAGAAGAAGGGGGGTCGGGGCGAGCTGGGGAGGGTGGGGTGGGGTGGGTTGACTGGTCACGCATATTAATGAAATGCAGATCCATAACTTAAAACCATAGAGATATTGAAATTAACAAAATAATAACTTTTCGACTGTCGTGCAGACACAAATGTCATATAGGGATACTCACAAATTACAGCTTGTGTGTTTGGGGGTTATAGACAGCCTATAGACATGGCATGATGTTGTTCCGGTATTTCACGAAGTAAGATAAGAAAATAACAATACTTCATTCACCGTGAGGGAATTCTTTGTACATCAGTGAGTGAGTGAGTGTGTTGGGTTGAACGCCGCTTTTAACAGTATTCCAGGTCTCAGACGTTTACAACTTCGGTGAAACCCACGAGCACGGGTATGGTGCTGACAAACCTTGAAACATAATCGGGGCGAACCGGGATTCGAACCCACAATCATAGGTTTCTGGCTTGCCTAAGGGACGCAACTCTGCACAGCGAATCCCGGCGCCTTAGACGACTGGGCCATCCGGGCCCCTTGTACATCAGAGGCAGGGCACATATGTTAAACCCGAGAAAACGGATATGGTGCTTACAGACTTGGAGTGAGTGAGTATGGTTTTACGCCGCTTTTAGCATTATTCCAACAATATCAGGGCGGGGACACCAGAAATGGGCTTCACACATTGTACCCAAGTAGGGAATCAACCCGGGTTTTCGGCGTGACTGGCGAACGCTTTAACGCTTTAACTACTAGGTTACCCCGCCACCCCTACAGACTTTGAACCAGACCCAGGACGAACTTGATTATAGGTATGGTTAGAGCGTGTGACGTTTACCATTTAGCATCCCTTTCGACTGCACAGGATCGAGTCTGAACCATGCACACCGGGCAGTAAGCAACGATCCACACCATCGGGGTACGATGACACATAACCAGTCAAGTCACAGCGTCTGACCATCCGATCCATTTATTGGAGTTTTACGACAAACACATGTTCCTATTTCGACGGGGGCACGGGTGGCCCAGTCGTCTAAGGCGCCGCGATTCACTGTGCAGAGTTGCGTCCCCTGGGCACGCCAGAAACCTATGATTGTGGGTTCGAATTCCGGTTCGCCCCGATTATGTTTCAAGGTTTGTCAGCACCATACCCGTGCTCGTGGGTTTCACCGAAGTGGTAAACGTCTGAGACCTGCATCACTTCGGGCTTTCCTCCCACATTAAGCTGACACGCCGCGACATAACTGGAATACTGTTAAAAGCGGCGTTAAACCCAACTCACTCACTCACTCCTATTTCGACCTCCGACCCCTACGGGGCTATAAGAGTGCGGTTTCAAGGAGCGCAACGAACGTGTTACCACACGTATAAGCGACACACAGACTGGGTTTGTGCTATTGATACATGACACACGTTACCTAATGATACATTGCGGCGTTAGGCAACACACACTTACGTCTTATGCAAAGTGTATGAGCGGTGGGTGCTACTGGTAGGACAACACATGATTACCCTTTTCGCGAACACCTGGTGTCATCACTGATTTTCAGTTATCCATTCATATAATTCACCGCTATTTTGCCTTTTACGCCGAATGGAATCTGTTTCAACGGATAATCGAGACTGGTGTTGACGTTTTATGGCCACAACACCATCATCACACACTGGCTAGTTTGCCTCCTATGGCTTCATGTCAACAGACATGTAGACTTGGTTCGGGTCGTGATAAGTCCGTCCACATTTGTTACTTCAATATTTCTCTATTACATTATCCCGTGAACATCCGGGTTAGAATAGGTCTTCAGCAACCCATGCTTGCCCTAAAAGGCGACTATGTTTGTTGTAAGAGGCGATTAACGGGATCGTGTGGTCAGGCTCACTGGCTTGGTTGATGCATGTCATCCATTCGTCACCACTCGCCCCTTTCCGTAACCTGCAAGAAGACTCGTCCCCCTATCGATGAATGTTATGTGCGAAAATACGACAAACCAATCAGAATGCGCGTATGATTTTAAATTCTTCGTCAAAGAATCCCCCAGAAATAATTTTTGATTTTACACATGTAAAATATACCCAAGACACAGTTAAATGTGTTCAATCATACTGTATAATTCCGCACGTCCCAATGTGCTTTAAATTGCATCTGAAATATACATAATCTATGGGGAAATAATATGTGAACCATTAGGCAACGAGTTGACAAT